AACTTCCTTCAATTAAATGACTCTAAGACTGAAGTGTTAGTTTTTGGACGTCCGGATTTTGCAAATACCCTCTCAAAGACCTTGGCTCCTATAACTAACACCGTAGGTTCTCATGCAAGAAATTTGGGAGTTATTTTTGACTCGCCACTTAAATTTGACAAACAAATAAACAGTTGTCAAATCAGCATTTTTTCAGCTTAGGATGATTGCCAAAATCAAATCTTTTCTTTCATTTAAAGATTTAGAAACTGTTATCCACGCATTCATTTCATCCAGACTTGATTACTGTAACTCATTGTATTTAGGGGTCGCTCAATCTTGTCTGTCTCGCCTTCAGTTGGTCCAAAATGCTGCGGCCAGATTTTTAACAAAAACTAGGAAGAGGGAAAATATCACTCCTGTTTTGGTTGGTTTGCATTGGCTTCCCATTGAATATAGAATCCAGTTTAAGGTATTACTATTTGTTTACAAGTCCCTTACAGGCTTGGCACCAAACTATCTATCTGATTGTAATACAGTTCGTAGTTCGGAAGAAGGACGAGGAAGTCAGGGGTGGCGGGTAAACCTCTTTATTGGTCCCCACAACAAAAAGTAAAACAAAGAATATGCTACTTCTCGGCCTCCACAGTCTAATCTACGGTCACACAACGCACACTGCTCCAACTCTCTCTCTTCTTCTCCCAGGTCTGCGGGCGCTTATGTCTCGTCTCTCCCCCAATCACTGGAATTACAAACAGGTGTTAATCATTATTCACTCGACCTCCTTATCACCGCTCGTCTCCAAGCCCTTTCTCCCGCTGCAGCCTTTCACCTTCCCACGCCCCCCTCGCCGCACTGATCTTCTCCCCCATTATCAGACCAACAGGCCATTAAGGTCATCAAACACTTTGTTGTTGTCTGTTCCTAAGACACGTTTAAAACTTAAGGGGGATCGGGCATTCTCGGTGGCAGCACCTCAGTTGTGGAATGACTTGCCTCTTTACCTGATTTCTATCACTTTTTTTATTTGTAAATTTGTTTTATGGTTATTGGCTTAATTCTACTTCTCTGTGCAGCACTTTGGTCGGCTCTGTCGTTTTTAAATGTGCTATATAAATAAATTAAACTGAAACTGAATTATCTAGTCAGTTCAGTGCCCTAGGCAACCACCTAAATAACCCAAATGAACAGCCGACCTTGGAAGTCAGTTTATTAGGTGATGAATTGTTTCCACACAAACAGTTTATTCAGCATTTTGAGGCATCTCCTTCATTTTTACGCGAACAACCTCTAGTCTCCTAGCCAGCATCCCCCTGTGTTATGGTATCAGTGTCCTTGTCAGTCAGTATGAGGTAGATGTGTCCTCTTGCCACTTATCCATCACTCAGATTGAGTGTTATTGTGATGAAATGTGTAGTTCAGTACATCCAAGCCCAGGAGCATGGAAGAGTACTTTAAGAGGAACACTGCCACACCTTACATGCCCCGACCTGTGTGTGATTGATTGTGTGACAGACATGCTTAATGAAAGAAAACCTTGCAGATCCTGAAGTTCTCCAGCTAGTAAGTACTTGCGTGTGTCTGTTGTAATCCAAACGCTCATCGCGCACACTGAGTTTGACGTCTTGGCTAGAGATTGAATAAATACTTTACTATTTTGGGCTAAGCATGCCTTGTCAAGTCATTCACCAAAGAGAAAAATAACCTGAGGATGGAGGAGGACTCAAATGAAATGTTAGGACTAATGTTTACGTTCTGTGATTTTTAAGAGGGCTAGAGTTTTTTGCAGGATCATGGAACACATTTTCTTAGAACTGCTGCAGTGATAATTGACTTCCTGTTGAAAGGGTATTCATAGCAAGGACAATAACTATTTTCCTGCCCAAATCTTTAATTCATAGTACATCCTTTTTAAGATTTATTCAAACTATGTCAGTCTCAAACAAAAATGTGTAACATCAATAAGAGCACCTACATTTGCTCTAATGAAAATAATTACTTTTAATAACATTTACGTGTATCGGGTCATAGTAGAGTTCATAGTATCAATGTTTATGCATTGTTGAAACATTTGGAAACGTGTTGACCACTTGTAATCATTTTTAAATGAGTCTCTTTTCAATTGATTCTGATTCATAGTATCCACCATTTTTCTCACAACATTGCATAATTTGACAAATTCTTTAAAGAAAAGCAGCTCATTTTACAATGTCCAGTTCATTCCAGCTGACAAAAGATTAATATCCAATCAATTTGACCACATTATGAGAACATTTTACTGAAAATCATGCTGTTCTGGGAAATCTCCAGTGCATTCCAAATGAAAGTTCTATAAAGTTTGAGTCAGAAATGAAGAGGATGGAGAAGAAGTGTCAGGGGTTTTATTTTTTTATTTTGTCCCCTTAGTATATTTTCATAAATTCTTGCACAAAAGGTGTAGTACAGTTTTAAAGTACGCAAGTTTTTCTTAGAAATCGCTGATAGTAATTTTCTTTGTCTGGAGTTATGACATTTTGATTAAGTTAAATGAGTTATGAAGTTTAAAAAAAAATGAAATATATGCATAATGGTTCACAATAAGATCAATAACATGCATTTAGAAAATTGATAGAATGAATTTCTGTTTCATTCCTTCTGCTATTGTTATAACCACATGAAAATATCAAGTAACTTTTGCATGTGTACATGCACGCACGCACACACACACACACATACACAAAAATAATATTATAGGATTCAGCACTTTTCAGTTTGGTGTGTTGGTCACTCTTAATGGAGGAGCAAGACTGAATGAATCTCTATACCATGACTTCAGCACAACTGTTGAAATCATCTCTGTTAAATCGATCAGGACTCTGGAGGAGAAAAGGTCTCCCGAAGCCATCAGATGGCTTTATTCCTCATTAAAGGTTTTCTTCATGACAAGGGCTGGGGATTCTTGGCTCTTGCTCACACTGGCTTTGATATTCTTCTTCTCTCAGGCTGATATGTGATCTAGTGTTTCTGTTGAAGGAGTGACCATTCCTTTGTTGATTGTCGAGTCAGTAGGGCAATTATGAAGGTAAACTGCCTCACTAAATCCTATTTATGATATTATTTTCCCATTATTTTCCCAGGGGATGAAGAGAAAGCAAATGTCGTTCTTTTTCTCTCTTTCATCCTCTCGTCCCCTGGGTAACATGAGCAGGGTGACTGATTCACAGCAGGGAACTAGGCTTTAGTCCTCATACAGAATTAAATGAACATGTGTTTTATCAGTTCTCCATAGACTGAATGACCTCTTCAGCACTCAAGCAGCTGTGACGCTGTTTGCACATAAAAACCACCTTCATAAAATAAATATTTACCTTTCTGACAATCATTTTAATACTGTGGATACTGAAAATTGAGTGTAGATCTGACACATGCAGCAGTTCAGTGTGTGTATTGAAAGATGTGTTTCATTCTTAATAATGGGCCTTGCAGCTGCTGTTTGTTTTGGTTTTGTTTTTTGTTTTTTTTGTATGCAAGCATGGATGATGTGATTTGTTAAGGCTTATTATAAGTCCTTATTTAGTTTTATTGAGCTGAAACCACATGCGTGTTTCTTTTTAACTTATTTCTTAAAGTGGGTTTTTGGGAAGAAATGGGAAATGACTTTTGTGTAAGTGAAGTTGTTTTAGTACATTTTCATTAGTTCCAGAAGGCTGCAGAGGTTTATTTTATCATGAGAAGAGCAAGGAGTCATGAATGCTCATTTGGTTTGATTGTACAATAAACATCTGTTCCATGTTCATTTTGGAGTGTAAGGTATGTGCTCTTGAAGTGAAGAGTCCATGCATGTTATATTTTAGCAAAACGGAGAAGAGGGCAGAACTAGCGTTCAGTGTGCCACTGCTTTTGGTTATATGAAACATTTAAATTGAAATACAAACATGAAATAATTTAAATTAAACTTAATTGGTCTTCTTGAGATTGCAGTTAGGTTAGAAGAGTTAGATTTAAAGATTAATCTCAAGCTGTACATGTGTGACAAATTTCGTTAGTGGATTTGTCAGGGGAGACTCGGGATGTGCTTGCTTATTTATTTATTTTTGTGCTCTATGACAAACTTTTTAAAATTGTAATAAATTAATACTTTTATTCAGCAAGGATGCATTCAATTAATCAAAAGTGACAGTAAAGGCATTTATAATGTTGAAAAAGTTTTATATCTCAAATAAATGCTGTCCTTTTGAACTTTCTATTCATCGAAGAATACTGAAACGTATTATTAGGGTAGTAAACAGTTTTCAACATTGATAATAATAATAATAAATGTTTCTTGAGCAGCAGATTAGCATATTAAAATGATTGAGGACTGGAGTAATGGCTGCTGAAAATTCAGCTTTGCCTCAGAGGAATTACATTTGAAAAAATATTAAAATACAAAATTTTAAATTGTAATAATATTTCACAATATTGATGTTTACTGTATTATTGACCAAATAACACTTATACAATAAGATTCCATTTGTTATCATTAACTAAGAATAATAATTTAATAATCCTAGTTTATGTAAATTTCCACACGTTTTATGTTTCCCTCTGTGCGCTCCAGGCTGTACGGTCCTTCCAAGTGGCATTGCACCTGCATCCGTCTGAGCGCCCCCTCTGGGAGGAAGACCTAGGCTGGGCCTTACAGCTCCGGGAGCAACAAAAAGCTCCCCGTGAAAGAGCGAAACAGGAAGATGAAGCCCGAAGGCTCCTTGTGGAAGCTCCTGAGCTGAAGAGCGATTATGATTTTGAAAGCGATGAAGTGATTGAGGCTTGCACAGCCATGGCTGATAGACAGAAAAAATATGAGGACTTAAAGAAAACAGTGGTTGTGGACGCACGCGGGGTCACCAAAGAGGTGATTGTCGAAGATGACAGCAAACCCACTTCATCCTCACAGTGTTGTTTAGTCAAGGCACGAGGACTCTGAGTGAAATAGAGGCTGGTTTTGTGTCTCCTCATCTGTGTATATTGCTTAGATTATGTATGTATTGTCGAGTTGATTTGGTAATCCAGGGTTCTGATTGACTTCCGCATAGTGTTTAAAGTGTTGGTTCACCCAAAAATGAAAATTCTGTCATTAATTACTCACCCTCATGTCGTTCCAAACCCGTAAGACTTACATCTTCCTTCGGAACACAAATGA